AGTGAACTAAAATCTCCAATATTTCTTTTTTTCTTTCTTCCTTTCTTTCTTCTTGTTTACTCAACTCAATCCAGTTTGTCCTTTGCGTGTTCGTGTTATTTTATTCGATTGGCAAGATGACTCACTGTTACGCTAGACTGTGTTCGTTTGTCTCTTCTTCGCTTCATTTAGCCTTTCATTTTTGTTACCAACAATTTTTACTACACGAAGATATGTGAGTGAAGGGAAAGCCAATCAATCATCCGTGACCATAGCCATAAGAATTTTTTCATTTTTTCTATTAACTAATATTTTTAGAATTATTTTTAGAGAAAAATTTATCAATAATAAAACTTTTCAATACAATCTTTTACTTTACGGATAGATGTCCCTAGTTAACATTTTTGTAATTTATATATATTGTTTTATGAGCTTCAAAAATATGGTGTATCTGTTAATAGTTGAGAATGAATTAGATTATCATGTATGATTTTATAGAATGTTGAAAGAAAATATTGTTAAAATACAAAGTTATGTAATAAGTTTTCTCTTATTGATAAAAAGCATATAATTATTAATGAAAAAAGTGTTCATAAGGCTTCTCTTCTCTTATGATTTAAGAAGTTAACAATTTCGTAAGAGTTTTATCATTATTCACACAAGCACTTTTTAATTTAGTTCTTGAATGCAGATCAGTTTTAAGGTTTTTGTCGTGCTATCAAATTGTAAATCATGAAAATTTTCTCCGAAAAAATTTATTATTCAAAACAATAGTAAAAATTGAATTGATTATACATACAAATGTTTGTGTATGCAAATAAGACTATATTGGTTGTGCTATATAGAAAATAAACTTATTCAGTATATGAATACATTACATATACAACAATTATCCAAGATATCATCACCATTACAAAATCATCAGTGATAAAAGATCAATGTCATGTGTCTCCTCTTCAGCTTTTGATGATTATACGTCCTGTTGTTTGTTGTTATCCTTGAATTGTCATGTTTTAACATCAATAAAAGCTTTACCTCCAAAAAAATAGTATATGAAGAATTAGATAGAACTAAATTAATTTCTTGTAGTACGATTATTTTTGAAGACTTTGATACTAATTTATATATGAATGAACTATAGACTTTTTTACTCTTTAGCATTATTTGCTCATGATCGGGGGCGTAGCCAGGAGTGTGCACACTCCTTGGAAAAATTGTACCTGTAGGGGAGTACGGAAATTTTTTTTCTACCTGAAACAAAAATTTATTTCCCTGTAGCTGTGCACACCACTAAGTAAGTCGGGCATACTTCTTAGCAAATTCCTGGCTATGTCCCTGCTCATGATTTCAATTCTTGTATTATAATTGATATATATCTAAATACATTGTAGTTAAGTTTAAAATATTATTTTATTGAGTTGCTAAGCTACAAAGAGAAATATATAAACGAGATGAAAAATGGAGAAGTAAGTTTTTCATACTTGGATTTTCTAAGTCTGATTACCATTACTATTAAAATCAATTTGGATAATGTCGTATGACATTTGAAACGTATTTTTACGTTCATTGAAAGACTTTTTTTTGTGGATTGAATTCAACAGTATTTTATCTTGTATGTTTATGACATGTAGAGAATCCATCTAATAAATGACGTTTTTTAATTAAATGATTATTTTTTTTTCTTCAGTCTTTCAAGATCTGACAGTTGAATTCAATAAAATGTCATGATAATTTTTAGAAACATGTATTTATAATTTGTCAAAAGTTACATATAACAAATAGGTTTTATTTATAAGCTATTAATAGCAAAAAAGATTCTGAGATACATGACTCAGAATGCTTGCCGAATGTGATAGTTTTTAAAACAATCTACAAGATGCAATTCTGTACCACATTCAATACATTCACATGAAATATCTTTCCTTTTTTTAAGTCTCCTCACTATATCAACGAAATTGTAATATTTTCTTCTTGGACTTTTTTGACTTCCTGTTGATGCAATGCGCGAAATAAAGGACCGTGCTGTAATTCAAAATGCGATATGGGTGGGAGTATTGTCATCATCACACGCATATGCACTCTATTGAGAAACAACCAAAAATCTTTACTAAATATAGAAAGGTTTATGTACAAAAATAACATAAACGCAAATATTTACACAAATCATATTATTTTAAGATCAATAGAACGTGTTTTTTTAAGTTATTCAGGTCTCAAAATATCAGAACTCGGTGACCCACATTCATTGGGTTCATTTATGTTACCATCGATTCTATATAAAACTATATGATTAAAAATATAGCAAACTTATAATCATTTGTATTTTATAATTTATTCGACAAAACTATTCTTTCTCTCATTCATAAAATAAGCCATATACAAAATACATTTATCAAGTTCATACTGCATTTCTTAGAAAAAATTTTGTCAGAATATTAACTATTCTACTAGATTGACTAATTGTTGATATTATGAAAAATCTCTTATTTTCTATTCGATGTTCATTTTATTAGAAAATATATACAACGTATGTATTGAATGTTGTTTTCATTGATTTAGTTAATAGTTTTGACATAGATCTTAGTAAACGAAGTCGATAGACACTGAGCAAAATAATATACTCATCTTAGTCAACTTGCATTTTTTCATAATACTAAATAACAGTTGTTAACCGTAAGATAATATTTCTTTGATAGAGTATACCTGTTGTATTACAATACATACATTAATTACCAATGTTGAATATTCTTTCAGTAAAATTTCTGTATTTATTATGGAAAATCAAGAGTTATCATCACATGAATAAAGTTGATACCATATTATATTCCAAAAATGTGAAAGAAACAATAATTACAAGAAAACATTGTCACAATGACATTATTGAAAATAATTCAAACGACTACGAACAAAAAAGAAACAGAAAAAGTACATTTCCTATATTTTCAGTCCTGTTTTTTATTGTTTACTAGAAATAATAATCGTATAATTAATAATATGTTTGATATTAACAATTCTCTTGTTATCATGCAGATAAAAATGAATTAAATAAGATTATTAATTATACATGTGTACGTGTTCACAATTCGTTTTATTTTTGAGCAAGAACATTAACAATAACGACAACCTTAAATGGTTGAAGTACGATACATGTGTGCTCGTACAACATATAACAAAAGGTTGATGATCATGAAGAAGAAATTAATACCATCACATAACGAATGTTTAGTAAGGAAAACAAAAGAAAGAAGAGAAAAGCACACATATATATATTTATAAAGAGAAACAGAACAAATAAACAAATATTGTATTATTATTAATTTAAAAAATAAATCAATATTTTATTCTCTTGTCTTTCTTTTTAAATGTTTTTGATTTGATTCACTATTTTTTGATCTTGAAAAAAAATAAATATGTTGTTTTTTCTTTTTGAAAAATAATTTAGTTTTACCTTTTAGAATTTGATTGTTTAATTTCATTATTTTCATCATCTGAAGAAGAAGTTGAAGATGTTTTTTGTTCGGATATTGAAGCAACTGTATCTGAACCAGACCGAGATCTTGACATAAAAATGAAAAATAATTCGATTATATATAAAAACAAAAATGAAATCTACCGTTTTCGAGATCGATGTGATGATGTAGGTGGTGTTTGTGGGCCACGATCACGTTGATTTTTAGGTGAAGATGATGTTGAAATGCGTCGTTTTCGTTTTCCTTCACGACTAGATCGAGTTTTTCGTGTCGGTGAAGTTCTAAAACAAATAAAAATCTCATTATTTTCGACTAAAATTTATTTATATTCTAAAAAAAAAGAAAAGTTTAATTGGAAAAAACCAACCTTTCTATATAATTATCCATTAGTTATCGAAGAACTGTCTGTTTGGAAAGAAAGAGAGAAATTTAGTCGAATAGTCGAAATTCGTTTTTTTTGTTCAACGAAACGGATGATAAAGAAGAAATAGTATGGGATGAATAATATGATGTATAAATTTCGTTTTTTGATTGACAAAAAAGAAAGATAGTCGAATTTCGTACCTGCGTCGACTACGACTTCGACTTCGTTGTGATCGTCTATGAGACATGACTGGAGGATAACGATCAAGACCGGATGATGAATACATATTTCGATGAGAACGAGATGATGATGATGATGGTGGTGGTGATGTTGGAGGAAAGAAAGCTGCTGGTGGTGGTGGTGGTAAACGCTGCATTAAATATGGATCTCCGTAGGCTGCTCGATAATAAGCTGGATCACTATAAACAGCTGGATGATGTGGATAATATGGTGGATAGAACTCTTGTGATCGTAGATGATTCATTGATGATATACGAGCATTTTGTTTAAATGAAGGTGGTGTTAAAGATCGACCACGAGACATAGTTGAACTCGACATCATTGTTGATGGATGATGTTGATAATAATTTTGACGCATTGACTGCATTGTTGGTAAACGATTTGCAGTTACCTTTTTGTAAAAATAAAAATAAATTTTGTTTAATATTTATTTTCTCAAACCTGTAAATGATCATAAAAAGTTGATGGTGGTGAATGTACTCGAGTCAATGGACGTCGACTATCTCGAGATGTTTTATCTGGTTTAGCATATTCCACACGAAGTTTTGAACCATTCACTGTTTTATTATTTGTACGTTGTAAAGCACGTTGGGCATCAGTTGATGATGTAAATTCAATAAAAGCAAAATGTTTATGTTCATCAACATAAATTGTTGAAATTTCACCATATTTACTAAATACACGACTTAAATCTGATTTACGATTATCACCAATATCACCAACAAATAATTTTAATAGGCCATTTGATGAACACATTTAAGAATTTGATTTCAAAACTAATATTAAACAAAAGAAAACATATACACATACATCATGTTATTGATTCTAGTTGAGAAAAAAAAGAAAAGAAGTCTCATCAGCGATAGTAGCGCTTACTAGAAAAATATTTAAATGGAGGCCGAAACCATTTCAAAATATGAATCGAATCATAATGGCGACATAAAAATACCATTTCCAATGGATTTTTGTTTATTATACACACATTCATTTTTTTTCCGTAATTGTTTGATATAAATCAAAATTCTAAATTTTTCTTATTTTTAGATTATGGCACCACCAAAAAAAGTTGCAGGAGTATGTTTAAACAAGAAAAAAAGCATAATTAAATTTAATAATTTTATTTTTTCTATTAGAAAAAACAAGCTGAGACAATTAACCAACGTCTCCAACTTGTTATGAAATCTGGTAAATATGTACTTGGTTATCGACAAACATTAAAAGCATTACGAAATGGACAAGCTAAATTAATTCTTGTTTCTGGAAATACACCACAAATTAGGTTTGATAATTTAACTTAGTCATAAGAAAAAAATTATTTGTTTGTTTGTTTTTTGTATTAAAATAGAAAAAGTGAAATTGAATATTATGCTATGTTAGCTAAAACTGGTGTACATCATTATGGTGGAAATAATATTGAATTAGGTACAGCTTGTGGCAAATATTTTCGTGTTGGTATTCTTGCTATAACTGATCCAGGAGATTCAGATATTATTAGAACTGTACCAGGCGAACAATCAACGGCTATTGCAACATCATAAGAATTAAAAAATTTGTTTTTTTAAAACTTTTGTTTCGCTTGTTTTTGTTAACAAGAAAAAAAAACGATAATTACAAGAAAAAGATCATTAATAAACAAAAAACGACAAAAAATATTTCTTATTGTCTATTTTTTATTAATTTCGTTGAATTTGTTCTAGGATAGAAAAATGAAAGATTTGGAAGAGAATAAAATGAAATCATATACCTTGTTCAAGTTCAAATAAAGATAATTTTACTTAAAAAAGATATTCGTAAAATTATGAAAATATTTAGAAGTGCTGACTTACATTCTGCTGCTCGTAAAAGATCATCATCGGTTGGTTGAGGAATATTTTCCGCTTGTTCCAAGGCTAAATATAGATTTATAGTTGATGTTAAGTTTTATTCATATTGAATACCGACCTTTCGATTTCGACTGGATTTCTATGGATGAATTAAATAAAATAGATCGAAAGGAAATGTAAAAAATAGAGATCTATAATCTTACGTGCGTTTAATTGTGTTTTATTAAATTGTTTAGTTTTTTTACATATATGTTCATATCGTCGAGCCACTATTTATATTATTAATTAAATAATACTGATTTCATGATACTTACATTGTTTATGTATTTGAACTTTGCGCCATGGTGTTAAATGTTCGAACACTATGAATAAAGAAATAAAAATACGAAGAGTAAAAACTACTAACTATTCATCAAAGTTGGTAAAAGTGGGTGATTCCATGAAGTAGACTTTTCTAATAAATATCAAGAGATATATAACTTTGGAAAAAGAAATAATGAACAGGACTTACCTATTTGTTCGCTAAACTGAGTTGATATTGATAAAAGTGCAGCTGACTGACTAATGGCTGGTGGATGAACTTTGAAATTTTATTTTTCTTTACAAATAAATATAGTACTATTTATTTACCTGTGTTAAATGTTGATGCAGATCTTTCAAATGTAATAACACTTTTCCCTACAGGTAAAACTGAATCTACTGCTAGTTGTTCAATCTCATATTCATTAATACTATTCGAATGAAAACATTTTAATGATGGTTCATCGAGAACTTTCATAATTCATAATAAAAATTATATACATAGATTTTTAACAAATAAAAATTCGTTTTTACTTTTAACATATTCATAAACATTTAACTCCACTAAAATTAATGAAAAGACTATTTTTAAAATAATAAAAACTATACTTACGTTCAGCCATTGCTATTCGTTCATCTTTTGTTAATGATTGAACAGGTGTTTGACGTTTTTTAACTAATGCTTCAAAATTCAAGTTAATAATTATCTATGATTTATGAATATTTTACCATCACGTTTATATTTTAGTTTTATTTCAATATCATTGGAAGACATTTTTTCTAATGTTTGACGTATATGTATTAATCGACGATCTAATCGTTTCAAAAGTTCAAGACGAGAAATATCATGAAGATTATAATCTAATAAAACAACAGAGTTTTTTGTGTTTTTAATCATAAGCGAAATTGTTTTTTTAAGATTTACATTCAACCAATTGATTAAATAATGGATGTTCGGATACAGTTGATGAAACAGTAGTAGATTTATCATTTGGTATATCATTAACCGATTGTTTTGGTTGGAGAGATGATACTAAATAGTATTTGATATTTAAACTCAACAAAAGAATAAGAGTTTTACTAGTAATTTCTTGAAACTTTGACTGATTATTCAGAAGGATTGAAGCAGATGGAATTCCTGTTAACAAATATCTGACTTTCTTGTCTCTAGAATGATATAAAATGTATATTTACGTTCGAATGTAGCATCTGCTGATACACCACGACGAATTTCTATATTATCGAAAATAACAAAGAAGATAATTCATGATTTATAAGAATCATACTTGAACGATTGATAAGTTCTGCATGAGCAGATTGAGTTGATAAATTTGTTTCATCTATAGATTTTAGATAAAAACAAAAATAGTACATGAAAATAAAGTATTTCTATTATACGATTATCTTTAAAGTCAACTTTTGAATCTATAACACCTGTAAGATAAAGAAAAAATTGTTTAGTTTTAATAAGAGAAAAATTTCTTTACCTGATTGATTATGTTTATATTCAACATCTAATGGTAGAGTTTCAGAAATATATTCAATATTATTAACTAAATATTAATCAAAATTACAAAAGAAAACGATTTATTTCTCGCATACCATCAAGTTTGATAATTTTCGTTGATATTGATGAAGATGTTGCATTCATAGTTTGTTGTTGAAATGAATTCTTTGTATTAGATTTATTTTCTTAATTTATATATAATGTAAATTCTTGTCTTCAAATTAAAATAAAGATGATTTAATCTTCTATCAAATTACCTTCTTTATGCTTTCGTTTTGATGATGAATGTAAATGAGTGACTAGAATTAAAATATTATAATAGATTAAGATGTTATCATTGAATAAAACCTGATCGATTTTTAGAAATAATTGATTGTTCATTTCCTTAAATTATCATTTGAATGTTTTCTTGTTCGATAATTTTCAATTACCTAATTGTTGTTCAATTATTTGAGAATAAATAATACGATACCAAAGATCTCGAGGCATAGGTAGTTTATTTTTTGGACAATTTATTGGACCACATGATCGAAAGCACGGAAATGTTCTATGACATGGTTATTTTTAAAAGATAAAATAATTGTAATATAAAAACTTACGTTGGATAACAAGGATAACCATTATTAGATATCATATTAGTAGAATTCAATGATTGAATATTTTTCTTTGATATGTTACGTTTTGCTTTGATCTTTCGAGGACTTTTATTGGGTTTCGATGATTTATTTTCTATTCAATTATTAAAGATTATCTTCTTTCTGTCAGAGAAACTTATGAAAACTAACTTGTAACTTTATTTTTTGATTTTTTAATTTTCGATACTAAAAATAGATGATCGATAGGTATATATAGACAGATAGATTTATTACCTTGCCGTTTTTGCGGTTTAGATTTTGATTTAATTGTTTTTGTTGGGAAGGATTTATCATTGTCAACTAATATAAATTTTCACAGATAAAAACAATGAATACAATCAAACTATGTTTTACTGAATTCTTGAATTATGTCAGAGCATTGATCTAGTAATTCTATATTCAAAAAATAAAACGAATATTATTTAAATAATTGATATTCTCTCTTATCCTAACTTCTATTCACATTGACTGGTAATTTATCAGTACCATCAAATCCATTTATTTGACGTAGTGTTTTTAATGATGTTTTGAGACCTATGAAATCATAATAGAATTAAATCAATTAGTAATTTAAAAATTACTATTTGTTCGTTTTTTATTTGCCATATAATATATGATATCCTCGTTTCATAGAAATAGAATTATAATTCGTGTAATTAAATTTTAAAAAAACTTATATTAATATAAGAATGATTATTTTTAATGGTATTGGCGCGTTAAAATAAACGTATTTCATACTTTAAAGAATTTATATATTCACCCATAATTTATTATGCATTCTCTAAGGATCTATACATATAGCTAAAAACTAAAAGCAAATTTGAGCCTCCAGTTATTGTTTGAATTCATTTTATGAGAATCCATTTTATCGAATAATCATCTGTATAATATTTAAATCTTCCATTGAAGACTAGATGGGCAATAAATAAATATTACAGTCAATACTATTTATGAATAAGTCTAATGAGAATGTTATTACTACTCTCATACTTTTCAACATTAAAAGTATTGCATTGCACCTTATGTCACATATATGTTGTGGTCAAAAATAAGCATTAAAATTTACGAAAACAGGCTAAGTTAATCAATTAGTCTAATTGCCGAAAGTCATTACCTAATTTACAGTAGATAAGAAAATTTCGACAATTATTATTAGGGAAGCATTCGCAATGCAATATTAATTTTTCATACTACAAATTTTATTTAGTCAAATGTTAAATAAACGATTATAATTTATGATTTATTTAATAACACACTTTGAATTTTGTTGATTTCTACAAATATATGTAAATACAAAACATTTTATCTCACACATGTTTACCATGTATATGTTTGATCATAGTCAAGATAACGACATCAAAAATAATTGGTAAAACACTGTTATTATATCCTAGTCGAAATAACACTAATCATCATAAGTATACTCTATCATGACTGAAAATGTAATATTATTTATTTTTCTGTGCATTATTCTTTATAGTAATCGATAGGAAACACTGTAAATTACATTGCAATTGAAAAGTATGTGAATAGCAAGAAATCATAAATACTAAAATAGAGATTTAATGATATTATCGAATTCAGTTATATGATTTTCTCACAATCAAGAGAGTTTATTAGATATAATTATATATTTCATAATATGTACATAAATGCACATACAAACTTTTTAAACGTATGATTTGTTGTATTATATTTAATATCCTTCAATAATTTTGTTACATGGTGTTTATACACAAATACTTCATGTCATGATTAAAATTACTTTTTTCATATAATTTGATGGTATGATAATGTACATTGTGAATATACTAATTAGGTCAAAAAAAAAACGGAATATTAGTTATAGTTTATTTATTTTGAATTACTGTTCTTAAGAGTAACGAAAATTTGATAGTTTGAGTGTTTTATTTCATTCTTCACAAAAGATACAAAATAAAAAAAAATATTTCTATCATTATTGATGTTGTTTTACTTTTGGATATTAGAAAACAATGTAAACAAAAATTTGTTTATGACTACGCTACTGTTTTATATATAGGTTATTCGAACGTTGTCTATCGAATATTTTTGTTACGCTTGGTTAAATACAGCGGAGTGAAGGACTGTGTATACTGTGGACTATAATCAACAATAACTATATGTATATGCAGAGCGTATCTATTTTCTAAATATTATTATGCGATCATACTCATAACCTAGTTTACTCTGATCGATTTATTGTTCACGAATAATGACGGACAATCTAACACCGTATGACGATATTGATCAAAAGGTGCGACCAAGAAGTGATTCTATATATTCCAATCCAGGTTTTCTCAATGAGGAGAGAGTAAATTCCTTTTTATTAATTTATATTGTTTATAATGTTTTTTTGAACTCTCTAGAATAATCCAGAATTAACATTACTAAATGATACATTATCATCGTCAGCTACTATTGAGGAGTCACCTTTTGTAGAAGTAGCTATAAATGTATCCAACACAGATGATCCAACGATGCCATGTGTAACAGTTCGATCAGTATTTCTTGGAATTTTATTAACATGTCTTATGTCATTTACTATTCAATTTTTTGCTTATCGTACATCGCCAATAGATGTCAATATAGGTATTGTTATATTAGTTTCATATTTAATCGGTGAATTACTGACAAGGATATTACCTAAAAGTATATTTAATATAACAATAAATTCAGGACCATTTACTGTTAAAGAACATGCTTTGATTACAATAATGGCTACATCAAGTGTACGAACATATGAAGCTATGGAAGCATTAACTGTTCAACGTATTTATTATAATTATTATCTTAGTCATTTTAATTCAATATTATTTTTATTAATAATGCAATTTTTATCTATTTCTATATCAGGTATTCTAAATAGATACCTTATATGGCCAGCATATATGATATGGCCAAAAACTTTAATGAGTTGTTCATTAATTCGTGCATTAACTCATACAGATGAATCTAATATTGGAAAATCTCGATGGACATCAATGTCACGTGCAAATTTTTTTTGGTTAATTTTTCTATTTGAATTTATTTATCATTGGTTACCCGGATATATATTTCCGATTTTATCATTTTTTTCATTGATTTGTATGATTGGACCTAATAATCTTATTTTTTCACAAATAACTGGTGCAAATGGACTTGCTTTAGGTGCATTCGAATTCGATTGGAATGCTTGGGTAGCTTATTTAGATTCACCTATTCTTACACCATTTTGGTAAATATCTATTTAGATGAAATATTTCGATGAAATTTTAACTATTGTTATTTAGGGCACAGATGCATATTCTTATTGGATTTATACTTGTTGCCTGGATTGGAGCACCTTTAGTTTATTATTTAAATATTTGGGACACAGAAGTAGCACCTATTATTTCTAATCGAGCGTTCGATAAAGATGGTTATTATTTTGATGCGAATCAAATATTAGACGATCGTTTACAATTAAATAAAACTGCTCATCACATACATGGTAATTCATTATTTTATTTGCCAAAATCATAATGAATTGAAATGCTTTAGGTGATGCATATTTGACTGCTGGAAATATTGTTGCAATTTGTTTTACGTTTGCAGGCATAGCAGCTTTGATTGTACACACGGTACTTTACTATGGTAGGTCATGTTGTATGAAGAAGCCTTTTCTTATAAGATTTGATATAATTATGTCAATATTTACATATCTGTAACAAACTATAGAGGAATCATTAGAAATAAAGCTAGATAATTATGAATCCCATCTGGGTGATATTGAACTTTATGATTAATATCAATACATAATAATCTTACATGGAAAACTACTATTTTTTCGGGTTCAAATATCAAGAGATTTAAAAACTAAAAAATATTTCATCTTCAAATAATTCTAGTATTTGAAATATCGTCTGGAAGAAATATTAAATCTTACTTGTCTGTTATATTCGAATTTTTATCAGTCTAAGAATGACTGAAACATTACGAGATTAAGTATTTGATGGTTTTCAGCCATGCAGCAGACTGTCACAAAACGAAAAATTAAGAGACGATGCCATTCACTGTCTATAGATGATCGAAAATGTTCACCTATAGTATAGGCATATTTCTATAGTTAATTCTCTTGTTATGCTAAAAAGAACATATTTAAATCTATAATCAAATAATTCCAGTTCTTAAACTATCATTAATAATAACTTATTATTTTACTATCTGAGAGCTTATGTTTTGGATTTGCATAAGATAGATTTTTCTGTTAAGTAGAATTGAGTGTAGAAGTTCTGAATTTAATAGGGTTTAATGAATATTGTTAAGATGCTTCTATGTAATTGTATAGGTAAAACAATACAGGAACAATTTCGTTCAACTGTATCTGACAAGCCAAATGATATTCACGCCAAACTAATGTTACAATACCCAACAGTTCCCGACTGGTGGTAAGTATTTAATTGTATTATATCGTATTATCTTTTTTGATTATCAATAGGTATTATATCATACTTTTACTCACAGTTTTAGTTGCAGCAATTTTCTGCTCTCACAATGGATTAATGCCAATACCCGTGATGCTTTGTATACTTCTACATCTTTTTTTAAATTTAAACAATGAGTTATAATTGAATTTTATCTTTTAGTAACGATTGTTTTTCTCATTGTTCTTGTTCTACCAAATGGTATCATAACAGCAACAACAAATATGATGCTAAGTTCGTTTAAAAAACGAAATTTTTTTTTGTTCTTTTATTAGATTATATTATATTTAAGCTGGATGTGCTCTGAATGATTTTATCACTGGTATAATTATACCTGGTAATCCACTTGGTTTTTTAACATTTCGTGTATTTTCATGTGCATGTCAAAATCAAATTATTGTACATTTAACAAGCTTTAAAATCGGTCATTATATGAAAGTAAATTTAATTATAATTTTTTTGTTTTAATTTTTTTGTTATGAAATTTATTAGATCTCTCCTCGTGTTGTATTTTGTTCATTAATTTTATCTTCAGTTATATCTTGTATAATTCATTATATAACTGCAATATACCTTCTTAATCATGTTCCAAAAATATGTTCAAAAAGCAATCTTGCATGGAAATGTCTCAATGTAGAAAATACGCATACAGCATCAGTAGTGTTTGGTGTAGTTGGTATATAAGAAAATCTTTTTTTTTGATCAAACTTTGACTATAAGATTTTTATATTAATTAGGAGCTTTTAGACCAGGTTCAAAATATTTTCCGATATTGTGGGCTGTTCCAGTTGGTTTCGTATTACCTATAATAACTTGGTGTTTATGGAAAAAATATCCTGAGATTAAATGGATATCATATATTAATTTTCCAATTCTTCTTTTGGCAACAGCTAATCTTCCACCAGCTCCAACTGTTACATTTCCATCGTGGGTTATAGTTGGATTTATTTTTAATTATATTATATATCATCATGCAAATGATTGGTGGGAAAAATATGCATATATATTTTCGGCTGCAATGAGTTGCGGTGTAGCTCTATGTAGTCTTGTAATATTTTTTGTGTTTGATTTGCGTCAGACTAATACTCCTTCTTCATTATGGAGATCAGGAGGATCAACTGGAGATGGATGTCCATTAGCTAGTGCAAATTATTCAGGTATTCTTCCAACTTGGAGACAGTATTTATAAAATGTTCATTTTGGTTTCAAGTCAAATTCGACAACAACGAAGGAGATTTAGGTTCCAATAAAAAAAAATGTTCAGTTTTTCAATAAAATACAGCAGTCTATTCTAATTTATATTTGTGAAGAGATATGTATTTAAAAAGTCTATTTAAACGATAAGAATGTTTGAAATAAATGGAATTGAAACAGTTGATATGTATTTGATTTATTTTTCTTCATCATTTTATGATTAATCTATTCGATATTTTATTTCATCATTATCATCTAGTATTCCTCTATACTTTTGTAACTACAATATTCAGCCATTTTTTCCTAGAGATATAGTAACATATAGAAATTGACTAAGTATCAATTGAAATCGGGTACGAATATTTATAAGTCATATGATAGAACAAAATATAATGTAGATCCAATGAAAAACAACGACAGACAAGTACAATAAAGTGATAATCAAGCTCGTGAATCTAGATGAAATGAATTGAATATGTATTCAAATCGATCAGATCAGTTGTGAAAATATTTTTAAATAGTTCATCAGTTGGCAAACTAAAACTGAACTTGTTGATTGCCGTCGACGATGAATTTCATCCAACAAAATTTTGTTTTTATTTATATTCATAACTACAACATAAAATTCATGTATAATTATGAACGTGATACAGATAATACTATAAGAATATGTGTATGAAATTAGTAAATAAATGTTTAAGTAGATTACACCTATTCGATAAACTAATATTAGAGATGATCATAGAATAGATTATCAAAACCTTTTTGTTGTCTCGTCTGAGAGACAAATAATATCCGAATGACAAGATTGGATAGAACATGTAAGTTGATTGAATATATTTTTTGTTTTAGAATATATATTGTTATTAAATGGTGACGAATCCAGGATTTTTATGATGGGGGGGGGTGATTTCGGTCAAAAATCGTATTATCGCATACAATGCACTTCCTTCTTAAATCTGCCACTGTATCATTAGTCATACTCGATGTTTGGTAGAACATTTATGTATTACTAATAATAAATAATTATCTGCATCAAGTTTAGTCATACTAAAAGAATAAATCAGCCTTGGTTTATTACAGTCGCATTATAAATGATTGGTACGATCCTTGAAAAAAGTATGACAAATTTTTTTTTATAGGTATACATTGCGTATATTACTTTTTTTTCTTACCTATGACATATACATTATTAATACACCCACCCACACCCACACCATTTCTTTTTTGCTGTTGATATTATTCATATAGTGAGTATAATAATAATGATTTTTATCTTATGTTTTAAATGAAGTGTTTTTCTTGATACAAATCTAATTTACAGTATGTTTTAACTTGTACAGTCATTAATACAGAAAGTGAGTCGTCATAGAGAAGATTTATTTCAATTTTATATATTATAATCTAGTTTATACGAACTTCTATTAAAATTCTAAAAATATATTTCATGATCTATCTCAAGAGATTCTTAAAATATTGAGCATACATACAAGGGAATATGAGTATAGGTCAAAGAAATCCATTGAGAAAGATTATGAAATATAATATTCTATTTTTAGCAGAAATGTTCAATTACATTAAAATATTTAATTAATTAATTTGTATTATAGGGAATAGTAGTAAATTATTCTTTAACTAATTTTTCATAAACTTATGGGTTCTTACATATTTCAATCTAATCAATCACCTTTGATTTTATTATCACTAGCAATATGATAACATCGAAAAAACACGATTCTTTATATTCATACTGTTGTTCTTCAATTCAAATATTTGATAGCCAAATGAAAGAGAAACATGATCATTTACACTATTTAATTCGATAACAGATTTAATCTTTTAATAGGTTTTTACTTAACAGAAATAGTATAAATATCGTTTACATATAATCATTAAGAAAAACATATGAATTATTTGTTTATAAACAGAACGTCTCGCAATTTTTCTTTTTTTTTCTTTAGAGTATTACATCCAGAAGAGAACAAGTAAATCGTGACGTACATTGGTGTTTACAAGTGACTTTACCTGTATTTACCATGCGTCATATACATTTCTTATTATTATCACATTTTTATACATGAATATTTATAATGTTAGAACTACTTGTCAAATAACGAATATTGATGATTGTGAAAAAGCCTAAGAAGCGGCATGATTATAAAGTATTTAGTCGTAAATCACTTCTTATTTGTTTTCATTCGTAAGATTGATTGAATTTTATTTTTAAATTTTATATTATCAATTTCATTATTTTAGTAAACATCGATTGAAATCTGATTTATACGCATTAGAAGAAAAATTTCCAAAAAAAAAGTCTCGTTCTCGAGGTATCATTAAAAATGTATATCAAACATATCAATCATTATCTTCAATAGTAATATTAATTTTTCAAATATTTTCTTATATTGATAAAATAACTCGCGAAATATTTTTATTTATTGAAAAACTTGTACAAATTATAAGAGTTATCTACGGATGGATACAAATGATAAGATCAATATTATCTGCTATTCATTTAATAACAACACGTATTATAATATTATCCTCACATGTACATCGTATATTTATTTTATTATCGATTTTATTTCAACCATTTGCAAATGGAAATTTTCAAAATTCTGTTCGATCATTTTCACATTTTATATTTTATTGGTATTCATCGAATGGTGCTTGTTATACATTACAAGCACGAACGCGTCATATTGTTCGAAAAGTTAGACAACGATGGAAAAACAAGCATAACGGTATAAATGATGATGACGATATTTATTATGATGCTTATAGTGATGAATGGGATTGGCTATAGAAACATGTTTTTATATTATATTGTTTTTTTATTTTGAATATTTATTGTCAAAGTCGAAAGAATGTTAATCTATATTCTTTTTTACTACAATGATAAGAAATAAATCATTGTTATATTATGAAAGATTTGAAAAAAAAGAACCTTGTTATTAACGTGAGTAAAGGTTGATTTCTTTTTTCTTCTTCTCGCATGTCTCAACTTTCATCGGATGACTAATCATTAGTAAGGTCGTATAAATCCATATGAAAATATTTTATTGACAAAAATCGTTGTTCGATCAATATTGTTTTATAAGATTTCAAACTATTTTATTAACTAAATGAGTATTAGATTTTATCACTAAATAAATAGATTTTAATTTCTTCAAAATACATGTTGGAATAAATCGATATTCCATCAAGGTTACATCTACTTTTACTTCTATTGAATTCTTACTCATATATGATTATATAATTCATGACTAAGAATCAGGCAACATTTTAATGGTTCTTTTCATACGAATGTCTCGCTATTAACTATTTTTTTTATGGATATCAATGTATGAATAATTATTTTTAGGTTATTCTTTCTTATTTGTAAACGATTCGTTTGTTAGTCAAATTTTTTTGATAATTGCTGTTATTTTTAGAAGATGGGTCATACAGTCTATGAAATAACAATTTAAGAAATTACATATTGGACAAATCGATAGTTAAATATTCCATTGAGAATTTTATGAGATGATGCGAACTTCTACTAAGATCAGTTATAATCAATATTGACAAAATCTTCAAAGTCATAAATTAGAAAGTCTTTCATTTTATCAAGTAAGAAATAATCGCTCACTTGTCCTTTAAAAATACAACTACAGTTAGGCGATAAAAACATTCGTTTTTCTATTTAGTATTCTCATAAGAATTTTTTAAGAGATTGATAGACGTTGTTGATTGTGGTTAAATGTCCGAGATATGTGCTGTCAATTCATGTAACCGTGTATCACGTGCTTTATGTCATTGTTGCCAAGAAAATGTTTGTATAGTTCATTTAAATGAACATAATGATAAACTCAATAGTCGATTGAATTCTTTTACAGATATTATTAATCGATTATATAATCGTATTGAAACAATAGATATTCGAAAAATTGTTGATAATTATCGTGAAAAACTTGAAGAATGGCGTTTAGATTCTCATAAAAAGATTGATGAATTTTTTCAACAAAAACAACAAGAACTTCATGGTCTTATTACTGATAAAGTTGATGAAGACCGAGAAGAATTTAATTATATTCAAAGAAAACTTGTTAAACTTATTCATGAACAACAAATTAATTGTGATGATATTTATGAATTAACATTAAATATCGATCATCTTGAAAGACAATTAAATAATATTGAAGATAAATTTATTCAAATATCTACTCATCCATTAATATTAGATAATAATTTAGTAAATATTAGAGGAAATAATGAAGAAACATTTGATCTATCAATTCTTTCACCTGTTTATAAAACTATCAATCGTCCAAATGGAAGTTACCCAGTTTTAGCGAATAATGATCGAAATTTATTAATTCATCAAGCACCCAATCTGTGTCTTATTAATCAAGATTTATTAATATTCAAACGAATTTCATGGAATCATGAAGTTATTTTAGATATGTGTTGGTCAATGACATTAAATTGTTTTATTTTAATTACTCAAAAAAATATATTCTTATTAGATGAAAATACGATGTCAATTGAAAAAGTTAAAATAAATCAAAAACAAAAATGGTTTTCATGTACTTGTTCAGATAAATTTCTTTTTTTAACAACAAATGAATGGGGTTCATCTATTACAAAAATAAGTCTTACTTCATCAAAGAAATTTGATAAACAATGGCAATCAAATGATATATGTAAAAAAGATGAATATATTGATGTTCTTACACATAATAATGGTAAACTTGCTATGATAATTAAAAATAATTTAACGAGTACGACACGTATGGAATTACGTTCGGCTGAAACATTAAATCGTATTTGGTCATTTCCACTTAATGTTACATGGAATCCTAATAATCCATATCATTGTTGTTCATTTATTGATGATGATTGGCTTATAGCTGATTATGAACTTGGACGTTTGTTACATATTTCAAAAACAGGAAAGATCAATTCAGTAGTACCATATAATACTATTCCTTATTGTGCTACTTTATTTGGTACAAATATATTGGCTGTATCAACAAAAGATGGTGTTAATTTACATAATTTAAATTATAAGAAAACATATACAATTTTTGTTCTTTAATTCCAAGTATAATGACTGAGCTATATTTTAATATGTTTTCTAAGTTAATAGATTATTTTGAACAGAGAAGACATTGTCTAGATTTCTGAGATTGTTGGTAATATAATTTATGAAGAAATAATCTAAGAAATTATTGATTATACTGTTCAACATACATATTAGACAAATAAAGATAATATTAGTTAGATGATGCGAATTTCTACTAAGATCAGTCATAAATTGGAAAGTCTTTCATTTTATCAAGTAAGAAATAATCATTCTTTTGTCCTTTAAAAATACAACTACAGTTGAGTGTTAAGTCGTTTTTTCTATTTGGTGTTCGTATTAGAATTTTTAAGAGATTGATAGAAATGGCAATGAATGAGGATTATAAAATTGTAACTGATTAATATCATTTTCGGTTCAGATTTTTGAATATCAAATTATTCCAGATTTCTTTTTACGAGGGAATTTCCCGAGATATCAAGAAGCTTTTGAGCTGAAATTTCTCTCGCAAGTAGGGGATACATAGACTAGAAAAAGTTTGAAAGGATATGTGCCCAAGTTGGTGTTTGCCTGAGATATCGACTATTT